AGAAAGAAAGAAAGAAAGAAAGAAAGAAAGAAAGAAAGAAAGAAAGATTGATTGGCTCGAGAAATGCTGACCTCCTGCTGGAATGTAGAATAGTTCTGGAAGCAGCTTAAAGAAATCTGCTACAACACAGGGTTACGCCAAGGCAACGAGAAGATGGGTGGAGTTGCTGACATGCTTTTTGTGCCTCTATCCTGATGTCTGTCTGTCTCTCTCCGAAGTGGACCAACGGTGTGGAAGGGTGAAAATGGAAGGTGCTAGCAGATATAGCCTAAGCCCTAAGCTTAGCCTAAGCTTTTTGAGACTTATCTTCAGCATCTAGCACTGCACGGTGGATATAGAAGCACCGGTGTCTGTTGAATAAAAAGCCAAAAGCAAATAAGATGCTTGTCCAAGAAGAGAAGTAAGTACCGGAGGACATAAGCAAATAACATCGAGAAATGGTGAAGAGAAGGAAAAATTTTTTCTCTGCCCTTCATGGTCTTCCAGCTAGACTGAGAATTAAATTTACATGGGACAGATTAACAGAAGATCAGATTCAACAGTGTACATATGGGGAATTCACCAAGATGTGGAAATTCCAAAGACAGGCAAAATGAGGCATATAGGTCATTCTGAACTAAGAAGGGGGCACGGGTCTGGGACTTCAAAGGGAAAAAATGTAATTCACAGGAAAATGAAAAGGAGTAAATGTGTGGTAAACAAATGTGTCCTGGGGACACTTGGAAACCATGGGACGTAGAGGACTTTGATCAAACAGGCCTTGCTAGGTTCCTCCCTGTCTACCACACCTTGTTCATATCATAACGTAGTTCTTTGTGGTGATGGTTCCCTTCCTGGTGCAGGTCCTCTACCTAAATTCTTTTTAGGCTGTTGTGGGAGAGGTTAGGAGCTTTTCTTGAATCTGCTGGGTTTCAACTACTTTTTAACCCAAAATAATCTTCATGCCAAAGTGCTCCATCTTGGAGCAGCCTATCCTTGGCCCCTTCAGTGGTTAGAGCTGTTGGAATCAAACTCAGACCTTAGTGGGAAACAGGCACTGCTACCTCCTCTCTGTTTACCTTTGGGCAAGTTCCTTAAATACACAACAGGAATTACAATAGAACCCATCCTAGATATAGCACTCACCTAAATGACAAAGTAAATAATGTACTACTTAGCAAAGTACTTGTTACTACTCACCAGAAGTCTGACCTGAAAACATTTAGTACATTTTTATTTATTTTTTTTAAGTTTATTTATTTTGAGAGAGACAGACACAGCACAAGTGCGGGAGGGGTAGAGAGAGGAGAGAGTAAGAATCCCAAGCAGGCTCCGTGTTGCCACAACAGAGTCTGATGTGGGGCTTGAACCCATGAAGCCGTGAGATCATGACCCAAGTCGAAACCAAGAGTCCCACGCTTAACCACCTGAGCCACCCAGGCTCACCCATTTAGTACATTTTTAAAGTAATTATAACTCTAAACCGACCACTTGTTTTCAATCAATCAACTGCACAACCACATCACCGTAAAACCACAGAGATAAAACGTTCCTCTCACAGAGTCATTAAAGAGTTTAGAGAAATAAAATGAAGTCATTTATGTAAAAGAACTTTAACAATAAATAGCACCCACCATAAAAATCAATTGGCCTCTTTTTAAAAATTGTACCTGTTAAAGAATGTAAAAAGGTCTTGTACTCAGCACCATTGTTGCCGAACCAAAGCTTCTATTATATTCATCTGGCAAAAAGGAGAAAAGAAAACCTACAGCTTTTTTTCTACAATCTATGATTTGCTCTTTTTAAAGAGCCACGGGGGGAGGGGGAGATAGCCCTCTAAATGGTACTTACAAATTCTTCTTCTGTAATATCTGGTGGCTCTGAAACAAGATAAAATATGGCATTATCTCACTCAAATCTGATTTCCTTTTAAAGTAAATGAAATAATTTGAGACGGCACCTAGGCCTGCTTTCTACGTGGGCAAGCTCAGTAAAATGTTGGCCCTCTGTTCATTCTTTGCACATGGATTGAATTTTAAGTTGGAATTCAAGGTGGAAGTGGGGAGGAAAGGCCTCTGGAATCCAGCTTGGTCACTAATTCACTGTGACCCTGGAGTTAACCTTGTAGGCTTCCATTATTCCAGCTGCAAAACGGAGAATTAAGGAAGACAAAATAAGACGGTGCGAACGAGGCGATGCAAACGGGGGTCGGGGCTGGAGGGGGGGTGAGGAAGTTCGTAATAAAACGCCATGAGAGGCGCAGTGGAGCCAGGTTTTCTAAAGCGCGGACGGTGGGGGGCGCCCGGGCGAGGAGAGGTCAAGTCCGGAGGCGGGTGTGTGGTCCCCGCCGCCGCACCTACCCGCGGTGAGCCGCTTCTCCGGCATGCCGCCGCCGTTGCCCGCGCCCGGCGCCCGCGCGGGGCCCTCAGGGCGCCACCGCCGGGCAGCGCCCGTCTCTCCCCGGGAGAGGGAGCCGGACGGGAGCGGACGCCGACGCAGAGCGGACGCCGACGCAGAGCGGCGCGCGTGGCCCCCGCCGCGGCTGAGTTGCTATGGAGCTGAGACAATGCGGGCCGCCGCAGCCCGTCCTCCTCCGGGGCAGGGGGCGGGCGCCGCCGCCAGGGCCTGGGGGACCCCGCGCAGGGTCCCAACTCGCCGGGCCTCGTTCCTGTGGGGACCGCGACTCGGGCCTGGTCCCACGAGCAACATCCCGGCCGCCCCGTCCAGGAAATTTGCTGTCTCCTAGTGAGAAGGGACCCGCGGGCGAGTGGGGGCGGGGGAGCGGCCCTGATGAGCTGGTCCTGAGAAAAGGAGGCAGAAAGGGGAGTCGGGCCCCAGGAGTTTTCTTGATACTGAAGGAGGGCAGAGCCACACACGGCACCGGAGTTCACCCTCACTGTGAAAGTGCACATATTCGTGCGCTTTGGGAACCAGATCTGCCCCACATTTTTTGCTCCAGTCGGTTATGACTGCTGCGTTTTCAAGATATCATCTAACCTTTAAAAATTACCCGAGGAGGCTGTGACAAGGACAATAAATTGAGTATGCCCATAGTGTGTATTCCAGAGAGTTTAAAAGTGAAATTCGAAAAAAAGAAAAACGGTACTTCTAATTAGGATTAGGAGGAAGAGGGGGGAGGAGATTTTTAGAAAAGTCACGTCAACTCACGTTTCCCAACCAACCAGATTTCCACCTCAGGCTCCCTCTGAGCCTAAGAACCCTAAATCCAATTCCTTGCTGTACATTACTCAGTGGTAGCTCTTCCTTGGATGCTTCCTTGGATGCCTCCAAGGATACGTACATTTTCCATATTCATTATCTTTGAATTTCATCTTTCTAGGTAAATCCCATGTTCAGTAAGTGGTACCTTCATCTTCCAAGAGACTCAAGCCAGAAACCCCGTACTAAGCCAAGTCTACATTGAAGCATTTCTGGAATCCGGAGTCTTCTCTCCACTCCCATGAACAACAATTGCCTTAGCACAGGCTCCCGTTTGGAGTGTTGTAAAAACTTCCTAACTTGTCCCTTGTCCACTGTTTGCTTCCAGTGGAGTTCCCCTTAAATCCCTTCCCCATGCTGAAAGCCAAGCAATCTAAATGCAAATATGACCTATTTAAACCTTCAGTGGCTCCACATTTGCCTCCTAAGGCGGTATGGGGGACATCCAAAGCCTGCCAGGGTCCTACAAGTATGAGAATGCTTAAGCAAGCAAGGAGTCAGACAATGGATGCTTGTAGAACAAGGAACCATAACACCTGCCTAGCTATATTTATTCCCTTTTCAGTAGTACATAGGCAAAGAGAAAAAACTGTAAACCACTACTTTGACCAACCAAAATCAGAGGGCCAAATGAAGTCAAGGGTGAATAAGTAAATAGAAAGGTAAAGGGAGGCGTGAGGCAAAAAATCATGGAAGGGTTTTGTCAGCCCTTGCAAGGACCCCAGCTTTCATTCTGTCAAAATACAAACCATAGAAGTTTTAGGCGAAGTATCATGATCGCATTTTTATGTAAAAGGATCACTCTGGGGGCGGTGTAGAGAACGTACCTGAGCACAGGTAGAAGCGGACAGGGGCTGATGGTGGCTCAACCCACGGTGGTAGCAGTGACAGGTTTGAGAACTCAGATTCTGCATGTATTTTAAAGGTAGAGCCAAGCGGATTTCCTGACAAGTTGACTGTGGGAAGGAAACAAAGGAAGTAGTTGAGAGTAACTCCAAGGATTCTGGCAGGAACAAACAGAAGGATAGAGGTGCCACCACTGGAGATGAGGAAAGTTGTGAGTGGACCACGTTGTGAGGGAGAGTTTAAGAAGTCTATGAGCCATCCAAGTGAAGATTTTGAACTTGCACTTGATATAGAAGCCCGGAATGTAGGAGATGTGAGTTTGAGAGCTGACATATAAATAGGCTTCTTAGGCATTTGCCTGCGCTGTTTTTGCTGCTAGGGAAGCCTTTTGGCCTTTTTCAGCAAAAATTTCTCATTCTCCAATAGTGAGCTTGAGTGTCATCTTCTCTAATGTACCTTCCCATGAATTCCTTTCACTGGCCTCTCCTATTGTTCCTGTATCCTTGGTAAAAAAAAAAAAAAAAAAACTCGTATCTCAAAAACATACTAATATTAAAATAATCTGTACAGAGAGGTGCACCCTCTACCTTCAGTGTCACCTAGCAGACAGTAAACTCCTGGGGATTGAAAGAGATACATCTTATTTCACCCCCAATCCCAACCTCCAACTCACGCTATGGAGTGCTTGCCACTTTGTAAATATTTGTTGAAATATCTTCTCTGCATTGTAGTTATTCTGCACTGTGCCCTGTTCACAGAAAAGATTTGTTTATCCCTGTTTCAGATAACCACACCAATGGGAGGTCAATTGTTGTTTTATCATCAACTGTGGCTAACACTAATTGCACACTTACTATGGGCCTCTAACAATATCTGTAAGAGACTGGTATTATTCCCAACAGTTTAGGAAACTGAGTCTTCCAGAGGTGAGATAATTTGCTCAAAGACAAACAGCTTTAAAGTGTTCAAGCCACAAGCTGATCCAGGTCTGATTCCAAAGCCTTGCTCCTTTACAACCATGCCATGTAGACTTTCTTTCTAAAAATAAGCTCATGAGATTTAAAAAACAACCCAAGAACGACTCTGTAATTTGAACCCAAATGCATAAGTTGTAAATTATTCTAACGTTTTTGGTGATTTTATTTTTCTAACAGCTTTATTAGATGTGATTCGTATATCATCCAATTCACCTATCTAAAGTGTATGCTTTAGGGGCACCTCAGTGGCCCAGTCAGTTAAGCATCTGACTCGTGATTTCAGCTCAGGACATGATCTCACGGTTCATGAGTTCAAGGCCCACATTGGGCTCTGCGCTGACAGTGAGGAGGCTACTTGGAAATTCTGTCTCCCTTTCTCTCTGTCCTTTCCTTGCTCACTTGCTACCTCTCTTGAAACAAGAAAACAATAAAACTTTAATAAAATTTTATAAAAAATAAAGTGTACACTTCAATGATTTTTAGTACATTCATAGTTGTGCAACTATCAGCAGAATGAATTTTAGAACATTTTTATTACCTCAAAAAAGTCTCATACCCTTTAGCTATTATCCCCAATTCCTCCTTCCCCCACCCCTAAGCAACCAGTAAACTACCCTCTGTTTCTGTGTATTTTCCTATTCTAGACATTTCATATCAATGGAATCATACCATATGTTGGGCTTTCATGACTGGTTTCTTTCACTTAGCATAATGTTTCTAAGATCCATTCATATTGTGGCATGAATCAGTGCTTCATTCCTTGTTATTGCTGAATAATCTTCCATTGTGCAGATATATCACAATTTGTCCATTCATCAGTTGGTAGACATTGGGTTGTTTCTACTTTTTGGCTATTATGAATGATGCTTCTATTAACAGTCATGTACAAGTTTTTGCGTGGACATATGTTTTCATTTCTCTTGAATATATACCTAGGAGTAGAATTGCTGGGTCAAAAGGTAATCCTGTGTTTGTTTGGCAACTCTTTGTAATTTTACTACCAGTAGCGGATTGAGGGTTCTGGTTTCACCGCATCCTCACTAACATTTGTTATCACCTTTTTTATTACAGCCATTCCACTGGGCGTGAAATGGTTGTTATCTCTTGGTAGGTTTGATTTGCATTACCCTGATGACTAGATTTTATTTATTTTAAAAATATTTTATTCTGTCTCTACTCCCCAAACTAGCTAGTTTTTCCAAAAAGGCCTTTGTCTACAACTAGTCTGTTTCACTGTTAAAAACCAATGCAGTCCCAAACCCAAAGTTTATAATGGGAATTATATCTACATAAATGGAATTAAGTTTCTGTTTACTCTGATTCTGCACATATTGTTAGCAAATTTGAAGGATGTGTTTGAGATGCCTTTACTTAAAAATAGACTTTGCGGGGGCACCTGTGTGGCTTGGTCGGTTGAGCATCCAACTTCGGTTCAAGTCATGATCTCGCGGTCTGTGGGTTCGAGCCTGACATCGGGCTCTGTGCTGACAGCTCAGAGCCTGGAGCCTGCTTCAGATTCTGTGTCTCCCTCTCTCTCTGCCCCTCCCCTGCTCATGCTCTGTCTCTCTCTCTGTCAAAAATAAACATTAAAAAATTTTTTTTTGAAAAATAGACTTCGCAGTATACCTGTAATTCAATTTGGGGAACTCTGGAGAGCATCTCAATCTCCCTGTAAAACAGCTAAAATTGTAATGAGAAGCCAACATAACCATGGAACAGAAGTGATATCATGTTAAGCTGCTGTGGACAAAGAAAAATGATCAGGTTTCAAATATGAGGCCCAAACCAAATGTTTCAAGGGCTGACCTAAATTGCAAAGATTAATTTACATAAAGGCTACTCTGTAGCCTGCTCAGGGGGAGAAGGTACAAGGATTTATTCAGTGATTTTCCCAAGTACTGCTGGAGAGATGTGCTAGGATGTGTATGTGTATGTGTATATATATCTCCCTGACAATCAAAAGTAAACTTTCAGGCATCCTAGCTGTTTAATGATTTAGAAGTACTACTCCTTTCTTGAGTTTGGTGTGGTTAGGTCCCACTTAAGCCAATCCTAAACTTTGTTGAATGTGAACAGGAATAGCACCAAAAGCTAAAATTTGTATTATCACTGTGATTTTAATTCTTAATAGTAATGAGATTTTTTTTTAATAGCTGAGAGTCTGAATATACAAATGGACAATGACCAGACCATATATGCTAATAGAACTCTGACTCAAACCCCTGCAGCAACCAGTCTTAGAAACCAGATAACAACCTCTGCAGCAGTAGACCCAGAATGGCCAAGACTTGGTCAGTAACTGTCAGTTTCCCTAATTTTTGTCCCTATTTCCAATTAAGAACCAACCAGAGAAAACCAAGTATGCTTTCCAAACTAATCACATAGGATGCCCTCGAGATTCCAGCTAGCTTGCTTCCCTCTCCCCCATGCCAACAACCTCCAATCAGAGCATACCTGAAGTCTTCCCCTTTTTTCACCGTATAGCTTTCCCCCTCTCTTGCTTGCCTTTGAGTCTCTACCAAATGCGTGTGATGGTGACTGACTCCTTTGCCACATATGTAAGCTCTGAATAAATACCCTTTGCTTGTTCTTATTTGGATTGTTTTCATTTATTTCCACATGGCTAAACCATATTTTTAATTTTTACACACAAATGAATCAAAATGACAGAACAGTGCAGTAGATGTTTTCCCTGGCAGCTGGA